CCGTGTGAAGAGGATCCGGCGGCCTGCTGTGGCCCCCCGGCGTGTGCTACAACACCCAGCGGGGGAGGTGCGGGGGGGGGGGGGGGGGGGGGGGGGGCTTCCCAGATGAGATATTGAAAATCCTCGAACGCTGACATGAAACATACCCCTACAGCAATGTCGGGCATCCTTCGAGGAAGTGGAGCTATCTACACACACGAACGCTGGGACAAACCAGACTACGCACTCATGACCGGAATGCTGACGTTATATCTGATGGTCCAGATAAACATTGGGAGAAACCACTTGGAGACAATTTGACTGCTTTGAGTGCAATCATGGCGCTGCCTGGGAATGAACTGGCTGCTTTCTACCACACCCAGCTTCCGACAGTAACACGGCAACTCATTCCTCGCGACAGAGCTTGAACCGCAGGAAGATTGAGCAGTGCAACCCGGAAAAGATGACAGTTACCCGAGCGGCGACTCGAACATAGACGGGGATACATTGTCGACGCGATGCTGGGAACGAAATCCAAAAGATCTCGCCAAAAAGGGTTACGTCGGGTTTCGACGTCTCCTACAGTTCAAATGGGTACTCAGAGACCCATATTCCATTCCAATATTATGGAATATCTTAATGACCATGGAACATGCCGTATGTCAAAACCCCCACTCTTTGTACTCGCAAGTCATACTGATATATTGCCCCAGCGGGTACAAGGTGTATAGGTCTGGACGAACTTGCGGAGGCTTTTGGCAGCCCTGCATTCACCATCAACGACCGTATCGAGACTGTGCCGGTTGCGGCTTATCTGAAGTCGGCTGTTGAAAGGCACATTGAGGAGAAATCGTGATCTTGGCGTTGAGTTTACTGGCTTCATTGCACTTCCCAAGAAGAAGCAGTCAGATACATTGAGGAGGGAAGAATTTCCGAGCAGATCGCCAACCGAGTTTTCAGCGACTGCCTGTGTACTAAACTTTTTGATCAGGCAGCTGTCGGGATCTGCTTGATCAGCGACCCTGTTTGGGATGACAGGGCTTGTTTGCTTTGACAGAGTAGATAGACTTCTCTCTCTCCTCTCTCTTCTTCCTTTCCCCGTCCGCTTTTGATGAGAGAATACAGTATCTACATAATCATCCTTCTTCTGTACACTGATTCTCTATCAGCAGCCCCCATGCGAAAGCACAACTGTTGAGAGATGGGATAGCTGGGATCAGCTATGCGCAACCATTTGTTATTTGCAACTGGGCCAGGAAATGCCCACCTGTATGTTGCATAGGAGAAAGCTGAAATTATTCGCGATCTGCCTGTCTGAGTTATTTCTCTTTTTTTTTATTGGTTTCTAACTAGTCCAAATCCTCATTGTTTGCATCTATGAGCTTGTCTTTTGCAACCTCTCTCTCCCCCTGAATCGATCGTTTTCTTGTCTCTTGCTTTGGCTTGTAGTGTCAAAAAAGACCAATGCCCAGAGGGCATCACTGACAAACCGGCGCTGTTCTCTTCAAAAGATCATTGTCAAGTGTGGTTTCCGACCCGTCTTGACTCCTGGCAACGTGTATCCAGAGGCTGTAATTTCACCCGATATCATGGAATACTTGAACCAACACATAAAGCTACTGTGCTCGCTTATGTACCCCTACTGAGAAGGAGCAAGAACCTATCCAAAAGCGATCTATTTGAAACAGGGTCCAAAGTCGAATATTTCTAAGGTGGGACACAAACAGAGACAAAGAGCCCCCTGCGTTTTTATTCCACTCGCGATGAAGCGCAGCGAAGTGCTAGAAAAAAAGCATGTTTGGCGTCCAAGGCTTTAATTACAGCTTGGGCTTTGCCGATGCTTCACGAAAGTTTCTTACGCTGACATCACATTTCACTTCTCCGCAAAGCCGTTTCCGTCTCTCCAATGCTAGTTGCTCGGCAAATTGAAGTCCACTAGCCCGCTCAACTATCTCGATGTCTACCTCGAAGTCTGCGAGGAGTTTTTTGTTGTCAATAGAAGCGTTGGGCAGTACAAATGCACCGACTGCGACTTTGCTCGTATCCTCGTTCGTGGTATCTTCGTTTTCAGCAAAGATGATTTTGAAAAAGTGGGTCGGAACTGAGACATTTGGAGGATCTCCGATCACTTCATAGCTTACACGCCATTTCCCTTCGTCGTCTTTTTTTGGCAGATAGAGAGGACCAGTCACAATGCGAACGGACGGATATTTCTGAGTCAAATTGCGGCAGAAATTCTCGAATCTCGACCAATAGTGGCGATTGAAGCCCTCGCCAACTTGCGGGCACATATTCGTCAGCTTAAATGTGTCATCCATAGCTTGTTGGGACCAGTTTGCATTGGCAGCTGGGACTTGGTGGCCGCGATCGTAGCCAGAGTGCGAATAGTCTTTCAGTCGCGCCCTAAAAGCCAGAGGTATTGTCTTGTCTTCTGAGAAAGCACTGTTGTTGCGCTTTGCGTCCGACCGGGCCACCGACTCGGATGTGATATGTTCAGCTACCCACCAAGGATTTCGAGTGCGACGGTCGTAAGCTCCCCACAGGGCCAAGGACTTGAGCTCGTCCAACACTGGTCCTGGTGAGCCATACTTCAAGATGCCATTGTGGTTAAGCGACACCAAGTCGGAGCTTGCTGGGAATATTTGAAGCGGAGCTGAAGTTTGAACCGGCAGAGCTTTTGTCGATATGCCTGGGGCGGGTGGAACAGCTGCCGCGTTTTTGGGTTTGGATCCGTCCGAGTAGGAATGGTAAAGAAGAGCCCCACTGGCGCCAACAGTCGCGCTAGCAAGCCCGATTGCCGATATCTTTGCTCGGGACATGGCAACCGCAGGCAAACAAAAAATAAAAACAAAAAATCCAAAATGTTCTCTAGAGCTGAAATAAGGTGGGAGATCACAGGTTACAAGCAAACACAAATTCACGCCAAATTGGGTTGTAGTTATTTACTTAAGTAGTGGATGTGCAATTGTGCAGCTCAATATATATTGTCATACTTACTTACAAGTATGGTAAAAATTACTTGATGGTAGCATGGTCATATGGAAACTTTCTAAGTTAGAACGACAACAACCATCCCTTGCATCGTCAAAAAGTGTTATCCAGTTAAAGCGCAGTGTGTTTCCATGGATGACGACTGCGGGCCGGCACGGGGCCTGCGGGATCGGCCGCGAATAACCTACTTCCTAGCTTTGCCTGTTTCCTAACTGTACTCCCTAGCATGATTTACATCTCTCATCTGTGCGTCACCATGCACGTTCGCCCGAATGAATACTTAAGTATGGTGGAATCAGATCACCGATGGTATTGATTGGGTTTGATTGAAGAATATCATATTTCACAGTACTTAGGAGCATATACCCCTGGGTTGCACATTGCTCAGCTCACGATAGACGTGACAGTGAGTTGGCAAGATCGAAGAAATGAATCCAGGCTCACCGTGTGAACCTGTCAACCGACAGAGAGCTGTTTGTTACTAGACAAGCAAAGAAGGATAAAGTCAAAAGATTCCTATTCGAGCCATGATTGACTATGGCGAATTTCATCAGTGGGTGTGATAGGGAGAAACAAATTATCAATTACACCGTAGTAGCTTGACCAGCTGTTTGATCCTGGGACCTGCTTGAAAATGAAATGTTTTCGCTCTGAGGCCCTGGAACCTTGAGGTATACCGAAACGCACCGGCCGACGACGGCAGTTTCTGGGCGATCGTCGGTGGCCCGCTCATTCCTGTGGGTCTCCGTAACACAACATTTTATCTTGTGCTGCTTGCTTGTAACTATTGAAGAGGGAAGTGCGCATGCAGTCTGACATACCAGACAGCACGGCAGGGCAAGGGAGCGAGAGAGAGGTCTCCGTGGGCGTGGGCAATATAGTCAGCATATACTTTCAAGGTTAGTATTCGGTCATGATACTTTGGAATTGGTGCGGAAGGAGAAGATGGATGAAACACTTTTGGCTGTCCGATCGTATGTAGGAGAAATGTACGAGTAAATTTGCAGAATTATGTCACACCGCATTTTGAAAACTGAGTTTTTTTACGGCTCAACTACATTCTGGCGCAAATTTATGCAACTGTGCACAATATGTATCACAATGCAGAACTTGGGAGACTCGCCGGATCAGGTAGACTCAGCTCGGATTGTATAGACATGCCATTCCGCCCCACTCATTCTCAAGCCAGGCTTCTCGCACTCTTTTTTTGCATTGTCAGAGTGCTGGCCTCTAATTTGGGGTCTTTCACGATTAGAGTGAGCTTTATGAAACCCTCTCCATCTAGAAGAAAAAGTGCTTCTTTGAGCCATACCCGACAAGTAATGTTTTCATGAAATCGCGTGGGATAAACTATCGGAATTCGCACCACACAATCCAGCATGGGCTAGTGACGGCCAGGGCTCAATACGTCTATTTTGAGGGCCACGAGAAGGCCTTCAGAATTTATGAAGTTTCGGTTGGTTTGAGGGTCGAACCACCACCCAGTCGAGTTGTCCTCATTTATCGGATGATAGATGTATCCACACTGCGCAGACTGGTGTATATAGAGCCTCCAGTGGAATGTAGAAGTCCCTTCGCCGCGATCGGTCAAAAGAGCGTAGAGCGCATTTATCTCGAAATCAAACCGGGTCGACATTTACGTAGTGCGATCTTGTCTTAAAATATGGACAGCAATGGTTTGGGTGTTCCGGTGGAAAGATTGAGCACCGGCATAGCATACTCTTATATGAGTTGAATGCCTGCCCAGGTGTTAATGATAGTCATGTTCTGAAAGCGCTTGATCTCGGTAATTCACTGGCTCAACTTCAACTTTGCTTGACAAATTTCTGTAGAGAGAAGACCCAAAGCGCTTGATGTGACCAGAATTTGGACTTCGACTTCCATGAATGAAATGGATTGGGAGCAATATCAATCTTAGCTCTGTGATATTTGGAGTAAATTCATCGCCTGGCACATCTTCAAATCCGGGATACTAGACATCATCATGTGTTTGTACTGTTTGCATTCATAGGTGTATATAATTGTGACTAAGCACCCACCGACAGTCGGTCCCCTCCTATCGGTGAGCCAAAGCCATTTCACAAACCAAAGCCATTTCACAAAAAAACCATAAAAATCAATTTTAAACCTATTTATCACCCACCATACCATCTCTATTTACCATAGAAAATAGCTCATTTTTCGTATTAATATAATCTTTATCCCCTAATGCCTCTTCTTTTTTCTTAAGAGCTTCATTGGCGCGACGCTAATAGTCTTGAATTCGTGCAGATCGGAGATCAAATCGAATATCTACTCTTGATTCATCTGTACAACGACAACGAATTTTCGAATTGCCTTGAATTGACAATAGAAGGGACTTGGAAGCTCCCTTAATTATACGTTGTGATTTTGGAACCGGATTTTTATGTTTTTGTATCTTTTTAATTGTTGAGTTTGCAAAGTTCAAATCTTGAACCATTTATTTACTATTAGAAATTGTTTGATTGATATCCTTTTGAATCTTTGGAAGATCTAAATCTTTGTTTTTGAATAATATTTTAAGTTTATTCTCAATTTTAGAGAATCTTTGATAGATATCTAGAGATGAATTGATTTTTAAGCTTGGAATTTGTATATTGTTAGATAAAAGTGTTTCATTATATGTTTTAATAATTAATTTGTTTTTCTAATAAAGATTAATAAAATTAGTAATAATTTTGAGATTCTAAGATTAAAAATTAGTATCTTCAAATACTAATTTGATTATTTATAATTTAAATATATCTTTGTAAATAGATTTAATAATTTAAAGAAAATTTTGTTTGTTATTAATATTACTATTCTATTATATAATCTTATTATTTATTTTTTAAAATTTTTGTTTAAGAATTAAAAAAGATTTACTTTTAAGAGGTTAATATCAATAAATTAATTTTGAAAGAAACTAATAAAATAAGATATTAAAACTTTAATAAATATATTCAAACTCTGGAGTATTATAGAAACTATAGTTATTTATTAATAAAACTTTTAGTCTTTTTTTTATAATTTATTTTTTTATAGTAAAATAGAAATCCAAAAGCTATTGAATTATAGTTTTGTTGTTAATCTATTCTTTAGTAGTTGATTTAATAATTTAATAGTCTGAAGGATTATTATTACTATTATATTAATCTTTTATTTATTTAGAACCACAAATTAAAAGCTAAGAATGTATAATCTAACTATTAGTTGAAATATATTTAATTCTAATAATATTTTTATTAATATCTTTAGTTTCAATTATTTTTTTTTAATAAATAGAAACAATATTTTATTTAACTTTAATTTCTAACTAAAATCTAATTTTATTTTAATTATATAGTTTATTAACTTTAATTTTATAATAATTAAAAAATTTAATAAAAACTTTGTACTAATAAACTAATATACTATATAATTCAACTTTAATTTATGATTTTTCTATTAGCTTTTATATATAAAGAGTAATATGTAATAATAAATATTAAATAAAGTTATAACTATATATTTTACTAATATACTGATCGGAATTAGAATATTATAAAATACAATTTATAATACTTTTAATATTTAAAGTAGTTGAAGCTAAATAGATAGAAATAAGGAGTTCAATCCAACAGATTAATGATTTTTCTTGCGAATTATTTAATACTTTATTATAGATTTGACGACCTTTTGGAGTTGACCTTTTGTCCTTCCGGCTTCGAAGCTTCCAGTTTGACACTTCAAAATAGACAGCTACAGCGTCGAGGCTTTTGAATTTTTTTGAATTATAAGTATGGAGGGCGATTGCGAGTTGTTTTTCTTCTTCTTCAGTAGAAAACGGCATTGTTTTGATGTAGAAATTGAGGGTTAAAAATAAATTGATGGTTTTTTTGTGAAATGGCTTTGGTTTGTGAAATGGCTTTGGCTCACCGACAGGAGGGGACCGACTGTCGGTGGGTGCTTAGTCACAATTAGTCTTCTTTCTTCTTTCTACATAATAGATCTCCTCGTCGAATTCAACCTCTTTTTTTGAAGCATCGCCTCTCCTCACACGGTCCTCGCTCATCTTAAGCACATCACATTGTGAGCTAAACAGAAAACCCCCATCGTTCTCATGGAGCCACAGCCCGGAAGCCTTGGCGCCACCCTCCGGCTAATCGAATCTGCTCGGCTCACACCAGTCGAGCACATGATCTGGAGAGCCTTTTTAAACGAGGCTATCGACCCGGAATATGCTGCTCAGTATATCTGGCAAAAATTAAATGATCGCGGGGGTCGTCCTCCAGAGGAAGTATTGGGGGAATTAAAACTGGAATGGAAACAGGTGCTCACTAAGTGTGAGCCAAACCGGAATTCTCTGCTATGTCTCTACTTACCACCGAAGCAGTGAGCCAAAGAGACCATGTTCCAATTGAAGTTCACGATCTGGTTGAGACTCGGGATGATTCACACTGCTTTATGCTGCATCAGAAGCGGTCAGACCCTAATGCCCCTGTTTATTTTGATCATGCCTGGGTGATCCCACCGAGCTTTTTTGATGACCTTGATATGGATCCGCAGGTTTGTCAAATCAGACCTCGATACTGAAACGTTCCAAACATTGGTAACAAAATCTGAAATTTGCTGCTCTTAGGGTACCCCTTTTGGTCTCCTGCAAGCCTTCTTGACTGACACCAAGACATCTGAGCTGCGGGTTCTTCTACAAAATCGCAGCCAGGAGTCTCGACTAAGAAACCTATTTTTACTCTCTCCCAGCATTCATACGGCTTGGCGGAAAGGCCATATACACATTTTCCCCAAACCTGGCTCTCATGATCCATGGGATGATTACAGCGAGGACAGAATCAAGACAGAGAGCGCAGTCGAGGCTTGTATCTCTGCAGACCTTGACCTACAGGAAAACTTCTGACCTGTTTGATGCCAGTATTTTGTGCGCCGACTGCATCCTGAGCCCTGTGAATCGCTCTTCCTCAGCGATGGTAGCCCATGGAACCGTGCAAAGCAAATGTTCGATATGCGTGCTCAAAACGCCAATCTATCCCTTCCCGATCCTTTTTTGATACGAACACACTTTCGCCTTACAGCGTCTTTACATCTTTTCCACGTGGGAGACGTATCGCCGAGGGATGGCCCTCGTCCCAGTCGTGTATGAAAAACCACCCCTGCGCATAGGACCCTCAAGACTAATCTCTTTAAATTTCAGTAGTCTCCTTGAGCAGAAAATCCCAGATGAATCTACGATATCTCTGGCATTTTGTACCGAAGGTGATACGCGTGCAGTGTTACCGTGTGCTAATCAAGATAGGGGAACTCGTCTTCCCACCACCTTTCGCTGGATATTTGTATCGTTTACCATTCGGTCTGTACGCAAGGAGAAGCCCCTGCCCCCCTAGCAATGAAGTTGAAGCGTTGCGCCTGGTAGAACAGTATACTTTGATTCCATCGCCCCTTTTCGTGGATGAATACCAAGCAGAAACCCCCGTCCTTATTATGACAGCCCTCCCCGGAAAATCGTTGGTCCAAGTCTATCATAGGCTCTCCCATCCCCAACGGGCGCAGCTGTCAAAAGACTTGAAGAATGTCTTGTTGCAGCTGCGCCACGTTCCGAATCGGACCCTCCACGCATTCGCGAACGCACACGGTGGCCCTCTGAACGAAACTCCTCTCCGGCTCGAAACATATGGTCCATTCGAGCTAATCTCTGATTTCAATGCATCCCTCGCCTATAGGTGTAAGCGCAACGAAACAAAGGAGAAGATCTCGAAAGTCCACGCCCGCCAGTACCGATCTTTCTTCACCCATGCAAACCTTCACCCGAGAAATATCATTATTGAGAATGGCTGTCTGTCAGGGATTGTGAACTGGGATTCTGCAGGCTTCTATCCTGAATACTGGGGGTTTACGAATATAATGTATGGTGCTCGATGGAATAGAGCAATTGAGTCCATCATGAGCGATGTACTCACCGAGGATAGTAGCTATGAAGAGGAATTGGCAGCGGAGAAGCTTTTATGGTCTGATTTTTAAGTAACCAATTTGCGATCTAATCAATCACCGGTGTCCATGTGCTACTTCGTCTTCTCATTATTAAAATCTACAATAACCATTCTCGCTATATGAGTTCAATATCAGTTCCGTTTCAATTCCAGGTCAATTCAAAGAACTGGACAACAACAACATATACAACAGTGAAGATTCGCTGGTGACTCATCCAACTGCTAACTCACAGGCGTGTGACGTGGGAAGATTGCAAAGTTAGGAAACCGATATTGGTATCTCATAGGGACCTGAGGAATATAGCAATTTGCCTATTTCACTCCTTCGCTTTTCTTCCTCCCCTTCACTCCTGATACTACCACTCTTGCTCATATCTGATACTGGTATCCCTGGCGCCTATAGACCTGCGTAGCACCACTGATATTGAAAAGAAAAAAAATCACAAAAAAACCCAAAAACATACAACAGTGAGGATTCGCTGGTGGTCACCCACCCAACTACTAACTCACCGGCGTGTGGCTTATGTGCAGTCAATAGTTCGGTGGGTGTAGCCCGGGTGAGAAATGGCTGAGCGCCGCTTTACGGTCGCGCGACCGGGGGTGACAAGGGTGAGTGCGCTATAGACAGGGTGACAGTCGGTGTGAGAATCACCCAAGTCGCGCGACTGCCGCACTGATCCTCCCAGCTGAGCTACAATTGATATGATTGGACGAACTGCTGCCTCCTGAAACAACCATTCTCTTCGCATCGAAATTCTCATCGCTGTAACGGGTCACCGTGATCCAGACCTGTTCCAGTATGTTGTCAAATCTATTGTCAACCGCACAAGCTCAGCTCCTATCATAGAAAATGTGCTTGAAGAGGTATTGTCCAACGAAAAATTAGTTGAATTGTTCCCGTGGGTCTTGGATCAGCCGCGAAGCAGCGATGAGCCTTTTACGGAAGATGTCCTCCTCGCTCTTATGGAAAAATATGATTTGAAACTGCTTCAATGGGTTGTGGAAGCTATGATCGATCGCACAGGCTCCGCTCCTGTTACATAAAATGTTCTTCTTGGAGTTCTATACGACGACGACCTACGAGAGGGTTTCAAGTGGCTCTACAATCAACGGCAAATCATTCATATCCCCTCTATGGAAGAAATCCTCATCGTTGCTACGGAAGAGGCTACATCGGAAGAACTCCAAGAGATCATCAAGCTTCTCATCGATTACATAGACTCAGTTCCTATTACAGAAAGAGTGTTGCGAGCAACAGTATGCAACGGCCGTCTAGACGCGTTCCGATGGCTTTTTGATCAGCGGTCAGACCTCAGCGTCACTTTGGAAGGTATATGCGACGCCATCTTCCAGGATCCTGAAGCCTCGTACAGGGGGAAGATAAGTGCGCTTGTGTATCTTGCACCCCCCTGTGATGACGAAGAGCCCAAAATCACTCCTTCAAATTTAGCCAAGTACCCTTATGATTCTGAACATGAGAATAATTACGGCTTGGACGGTGTCGTTGAGGGTTTCTCGAGGGGCTTCTTTTTAGAGAACTCACGCGCACAATTGCTATTCTCTGATCCCCAGGGAGTCGCAGAGGTCTTTTTGGAAAGGTGTGACCTATTCGCTGTCGAGTACTTCTTGAAAGATCAATCCGAGGTTGTGATTTCCGATTCGCTTATTCAAGCGGCAAAGAAGAATGTGATTGCCAATCAAGATGAGTTGATGTCACTCCTGGGGAAGGAAAGAGGCAGCCGAGCGATAAAACCTGAGTAGCCAGAAGCTAATTGTTGATTACTTCTCCATAACGGATAGAGAATGTGTATTTTTTCAAGGACAATACCTTGCTCAATCTGAGCCTATCAGAAGCGGATATTCCCGTGTTAGCATTAAAAGAGGGGTGGATTGACAACTCCAGAGGAGTGATCGCCAAAGGAATCAAAACAATGGATGGGAATGCTTAGGGCCGAGGGAATGTGCCCAGGTAATAACTGGTGTGGTTAAGCTTAGATAGTGGAAACCGGAAGAAGATAAACCCCAGCCCAGACAGTACCACACCCAGAAAGTCCGCAACTATCCATGATCCACCCTTTCCACTGCATACTGCATGTCAAAAAGCCCTTTAATGAGAACCTAATCCGGGGCTGAGACGCCGAGCAAGGAGCAGCCATCCCCTTCATTTGAGCTCTGGATGTGCGGCTTTTCTTTCTGGAGAAACATTGACAGCATTGTTGCCCATGGATGTGTTAGGGCTAAAGGCGTTTCGCCCAGCATCCACTATCGTCGGGAGTTCTGCATTCTCCATGGTTTCTTTGACGAAGGAGGCAAAGGCCGCATCCGTACCTCTTGCACCTACCAGCCCAATTGCAACGGGTAGCCATTCCTGCCGCTTCGTTAAACGAGATTCATATGGCGTTTGGCCAACTATTTTGAGTCAGTCCTTATGCAGAGCAACAAAGGTAGAAGTAAAAGGTGACATACTGGGCACAATGACTTCAGGGGCTCCGGCGTAGACGGAAATGAAATAGAAGAACCAGCCATCACTAATCCAAGATGGACGTCTGTGATTTATTAGCGAGATCAGCATATAACTAACAGCAGAATACTTACTCCCGGTATTCGTCCCTGTAGCTAGGTTGGCCTTGCGTCCATGGCAACACCAAGATAGTTTCAGAGCAACCGTCTTGGTCGGTCAGCATGACATGCTTTTCAAACCAAGTACGGAATATTTCAATCTCCTTTTCTTCTTGTTTCTCCATTTCCACTGTTTGAGAGGGCAGGAACTCCCTTCAGGGTTGTCAGTACGCGTAATTATTCAATTTCCACTGCAAATCAGTAGAAAAACTCACATTTTCCATTGGAGTTGGGGGTTGAGCGGAGGAGCATGGCCAAAGGCATCGTGGTACTCTGCATGAAAATTCTTAAGCATGTCCCATTGATCTGGGGAAGATGCAGTGACCAAGGTATTGTTGAAAAAGTCATCAATCGAGAGATTGGTTCCGACTGGGTTCGTTTCTGACCAAAGTTTGCCAAGGCTGAGTTCGGTTCGCTTTGTGCCAAGAGTTTTCTCAAGCTGTTGAATGTTGAGTTCAAAGACCACTGAGCTAGCCTCATCTTCAACCGGCCAGTATTCTGTAAGGTATACGATACGCGTGGGTTTCTGCTGCAGTGTAAGCATGGGTACATATGAGAGGGCCCATGGACTTTCTGACCTTGAAGCAGGTAGTTATTTCCGCGTCCTGGTTATAAAGAACCGATGATGCTCTTGAAAGAGAATCAATATCTCTTGTGAAAAGTCCGAAGGTATCGAAATTCTTCGAAAATGGGATAACACCTCCATTGTCTATCGCACCAGTGGATGGCCGAATCCCGAATACGCCATGAATGGCGGCGGGAGCCCGGACACTCCCACTGCCTATGTTTCCATATCAGTCGTTCGAGCTTGATTAAAATATGAGTGAGAGATGCACGTACAATCTGTTCCTGTAGATAAATCAAGCCAGTCATAGGCAGCGGCAGCTGCGCCACTGCCTGAACTACTCGCGCTAGGGGTTTGATATCCATCTGCACGTGGGTTCCACGGCGCATGGTAGTCCACCCAGTCAGAGGTGGCCCATTCGCTCTCACCAAACTGTGTCGATTTCAATTTGCCGATCACGATTGCGCCATGGTCTAGAAGGCGTTGAACTCCGGTGGCACTTTTCTCTCTTGGCCCATAGAGTCGAGCATAAGAGCGAGATGAACCTGTTGTTTTTACCCCGTGGACATCTTGTGTATCTTTAATTGCAATGCGCAGCCCAGCCAGCGGCTTTTCTTCGGTGGGCGTAAAATATAAGCGGGAGGGAACACCGAGAGTTAAGGCCGAAGGATATTCTTCTGTGAATACCGAAACATTAAGGGATGTGTAGCTATTGAGGGTCGGTCAACATTGGTGAACACTGGCAATGTGTCTCACAGATATGGATCATGGGGCGACTGCATTGTCGCGCTGATGAACGCCTCTGCAGTATCGGGATATAACCGATAAACTTCATGCAGATTGCCATTATTGAAATAGTAAGGCCCAGACGGGAGGTCCAGAAGTCCTGAGCTATCCGAAAGTAAAACTTGACTGCTCCAATTTGCGAGTATCTGTTGGACAGCTTTGGTGAGCTGGACGGCTTGGTGGGGTTGATCGGATATGAGAATGAGGGAGGAGAGAAAACTCTGTATCCATACATCGTCCTGGGGAAGCTTTTTGTGGATAGCAAGAAGGTCCTGCTCTGTAATCTGAGGATTGGAGACACGAATAGCGCATTTTCCCTAATACCTAGGCAACCCCCAAGTCTAGAGCAAAAAATTAATTTCACCCAGATTAGAGATATCCTATGAAAGCCCAGTAATATAAGCCTATTTCTGCCATAGTTTCCAGGCTTTACATACCTCGTCGATTCACAGTAGTTTTCGAACCTTCACGAAGACTTCTCATTCATTTACGTACAAGCTTTTCCATACTGAACCTCCAGAAGCCACTTTGACTACACCACGCTCGAATTACGCACGCTTTAAGCTACTTTCCCCTATCAGGCCTACAAGTAGTCGTAAATGATTTACATAAGAATATACCGTGAACTCTGGAGTATCCAGATTCTACAGTACTTTAGAACTACAAGTCATCATACTTTATGTACCCTCGGGGCCTCAGTAATTTCTAATTCGCGGCCGGAAAATATTGCATGCAAGAAGTTAATTGCAAATCTTCTGGTCTGGTGTAAGTTCCCCTTTGGTCGTACAACTTCATGTATGTTGTTTCGGTGTATCTTCATTGGGCTCCTCCAGACCCTTGTCTGTTACTAGCATCGGGGATGGATAGTAGGAATTCTTGAAAGGTCAGTTGTCTTTTTATCAAAGGCATATTTGGAAACATACTAGTTGCGAGCCAAGGAATGCCCAAAATCCCGAAGTATCCGCTGATAGGATAAATGCCTTTGGAGTCGGAGTATAATGAGAAATTCTCTGACCGCTGGTCGGAATGAATGACGCTCTTCTGGTGGATATAGTCAGCTGCTTCCGCTGCCTGGCGATACCACTTCAATCGAAGACATAGTTCGATAGCATCACTATGCCGGTCAGTGTAAGCTTGCAGATTACCATCGCTAGCTTCTCCGAAGATAAAACCCACGAAGCTCCTCTGGAATACCAATATAGTTGCAGTGGAAGGCTGACATACCGTATGTATCATTCTGAAAATGAATAACAAATCCACACGGAACTGTGCGACATATATTGGGCGCCGGAAAGTGGTTGATATTACCCTAGATATATATATTCAGTTGCGATTGTGTGCCGAGCGGGAACTAACCCCGGACCGACGATGGACCCACCTACGGGAGGGCCCGAACCCCCTCCCACAAACACCTAAGAAACCCCCACCAGCTTCTCAATGGCAGATTTCTAGCCTAGACTAAACATCGGATCCTCAGAATCGCCCACCAAAAGCCGTAAGTGAATATGGAGCGTTGATACGTTTGTACTATCGGAAACTTTGGGTCGAGTCACCACCAAGGAAATATGGAAACTCATCGGAACTCTGAAAAATATTATCCGCTATCAAACTGCGGTCCTCGAATCTACTTAGAACAAACTACAGGAGGTTAAGCATAATTAATATATTCTGAAAGAACAAAATAAGAAGCTCTATAAATATGTGAAAGTGTTACAAGTACAAGTGGAAAACGCCCCTAGAGTTATTGCGATTAGGATTTGAATAGCAATCGCAGCTATTGGTGATAATGTTATATTTTCGTTAAGCCATCGGAAATCTAAAAAAGAGCAAAACTATATCCGAATTCATATCTAAAGAGCCTTTATAGACTCTAGAGATAATAACAACAACAACGAAAACACTTTTGGGAGATATCTTTCTATAGATATCGCCAATACTTACATTTATACAGTATTATAAAACGATGTTGTAATATAAAAAGTTTAAATAGTAGGAATTGGTACCATCAAAATAGGTTATTTTATTCGATTTAAGAATGTGAAATTGGCTTAGGTGGCTCGCAATAACACAGAATGGCTATGTAAACTGGGTAATAACATAAAGCTAATTAAGACCAACCGCTAGAGTAACATCTGCTGTTGTGACAAATGAAACGGCCCATGATGTTCATGTCTCATTCTTCGATATTTGTTTCCTCATCCTCAGTGCCAATAAAATCTAGTCAAAGCACTTCCTCGTCTAGCAGCTGTGCTACTTCGCCATGAAAGTCTGGGTGGAGTGACCACAGTTTCGGTGCTTTGAGTCCCTTGCATGGCATTCTGAATGCAAGTCCCGGAAGTAGAATATTATGGTCAAAGACTTGCGCTGAATACTCAGAAATCGGGCTGGGATGAGCTGATGGTTAATTTCTAGGAGAAGCTATACCCCGCTTCAGAACAGCAGCTCTACCCCCAAGGAACAACGCATCACTGCCACAGGATGAGTTGATTGGTAGATATGAATCATGCAATGTAACCTGCATAAGTGTCGCCAAAGGCATACTCTTCTCGCGACTCTCAATGCATAGATGATGTCAGAATAAGCTAATAGAATGCGAAAATATAAAACTGGATAAGTAAATAGATCATTTGCGGGAATTCCGTAAGTTTCAACTTGGAGAAGGTATGGACTCGACTTTCGTAGGATAATTCGTTCTCTCTTGGGGCGTACAGACGTGCTCGAATTCAGTTTCACTATTTTGTTCACCTTGATCGCTTTCCAGCTACTGTTTTTATCAACACTAAGCCTGATCTAGCTAGTCCATATTCATTGTCCTCTTCCCATTGGACAGTTATGAATGGGCTATGCCAGATGTAGGCTGAAGTGGGCCTAGCCAAGACTTAAGAAGAACCAAAGAGAATAAAATGGTGAAACTAATTTCGAGCGCACCTGTATGTTTGGATGGAATCAATAAGTTATAAGAGCATTACACAGTTCTAGATAAATACCTTCCGCCTATCTCCCTGTTCTCATTCATGCTAAGACGTTCAGCTCACCCTAGTCACATTATACAGTGATATTGTCCAAGTCAAGCTCGCAGATAATATTCCAATTAAAGCCCTGGGTTTGATCTACATGTTACACTATCTATAGCGATCCTGGCACATCTACGAATCCATCAAATGAAAGCATCTTAGCACCTAATTCTGAATCTGATTTCCCTCAAGTGCCAAGATGGGGACACAAAGTGCTTGGTTCGTTTCAAGATGCAAGATCTCCCATCCTATTAGGCTATTACAAACTCTTACTACTTACCGGAGATGGCTGATTTTACTATATGCGATACATCATATGCAATATCATTCTGCAGTCACTCAAAATGGTTTAACTTCGGAAAGCACGATAAGTCTAGTTTTATTATCTATTTACTAACCTACCTTTTGATAATATATTTATCTCATTAGATTATTTACAACGGCTTCTGCTAAGATATAACTCTCATTCCTTAGTTCCACTATAAAGCATTCTTCTTTTATACCTACAAAACATTTTCAAATAAATATAAATAAATATTATATCTTCAATATGTTTTATACCAATATTTATCCCCACAGTTCTTGCAGAACCAGTCGCTTATAGAATGTGTCAAGTCGGGTATACCACAGTTATCACAACTTGTTACACTGCCACAGGCTTTATATAGAGGGCCACTATAGGGATTAGTGTCCCTACTTCTGTCCTAACTTGCAATACAGCTTTTGGAAGCTGCCAAACTGTTTGTGTCGTTGTTCTTTTGATCCCGACCCCTTAAACGACGATTCTATCAAAACGGATTATAATATGTGATAATATAAGTTGAGGAGTATATTTACTCATCTGAAAATTGTTAATTATTTATACTATATTAAGTACTCTTAGATCTTAAGTAGACTTCCGCACCGACCCCAAAAACCCGGACCCAACCCAGATCCAACTCCAGTTGGGTGGGGTTTTGGGTCCAAAGATCTGATCCCATGTTGGGTTTGGGGTTATTAGGTCCAACTCCAATGGGTTTTGGGGCCCCAAATGGGGTTACAAACAAGACAAACAGATTAAAATCCTTAGATGCATAACTTATATATATTTTAATTGTAAGTTTAGGTATTTGGATTACTCTCACTTTCGCAAATTTAGAGATAATTCAATGGATAGGAACAATATATTACTATTATTAAGCTTTATTCATATTAATGCTACTAATAATACTCAAATAGATTATCCTCTCTGCTTTTCTGCTTTCGTTCTGATATCCTAATTTGTGTTATAGTCTGTAGAAAACTTAGTTCAAGCTCTCTATTCTGTTTATTAGTATTTGAAATTAATTTAATTAAATCCTTATAGTCAACCTTATGATCATTCTCTTCTGTATTACTAATCAAAAGAATCTTAATTAAATCAAGTTTTCTATTTTTTTTTTCTTTAGTAATCTTTATTTTATTTTGAGAGAAGAATTCTTTTAAAATCTTAGTTTTCTGCTCTTCTATATTAAATCTAGATGTACAAAGAAACATTATTAAGTCTTCTATTGTTTCTAATTTTAGTCTTCTATAACAATAGTAATAGATATCCTGAGTTATATTGAATAATTATTCAATTTCTGTATTAGTTGTTAAAAATGAGAGTATATTATATATAAGAGTAGTGATAATTGAAAAATGAGATTAATGTTCTTTCTAAAAAGTAAATAGATTTATTAAAGTAATATCTATATTATTAATAAGTATAAAGAGAAATGTAGGGTTTATTATATATTATTATTCAAATATTGACTTGCTTTGTCGTTAGTTAATATAGCTAAGATATCTTCGCTTGGATTAGATTTATTAAGTATAGATTTAAGTTTTGATAGTAATTTAATAAAAGTTTTAGGAGTTCTGATTTAAGATAGATTTTTAAACTGAGTTTGGTATAGAGTAAGGGTTTTGTAAAAAGAGGATTGATAAATGTTTTGCTAGTGATTATTTTAATTATTGATATAAAAGAATTTGAATTTATTTATAGGTGTAAGTATAGTACTGATAGTATATATATATTTTTGGATACTATTAGTTTGAGAGTAATATTTATTAAATTTAATTTGCCTAGTTTTAAATATATTAAATATCTGTTTCTTTTAAATGATTTATTTTTTTCGAAGTTGTCTTATTAATTTTTTAAAATAAGCAAATAGTTTGTTATAAATCTTGAATATAAAATAAGTAATAATATCTTGAGTTTTTGATAATTGAATAATATAATCAAAAAAAGATTTAGTAATATAAAGAAGGTAGTCAATTTAATGTTATTTTTAATTACTAAGAAGTATTTCTTTAATCTTATATTCTGTATAGAATAGAGTAAAGATAGAATATAATTACTTTGCTCTACGAAGTATTAGATATATTGAATTTTATTGAATTCTTATATTTTGGAATAGAATAATCTTAATATTTATTGTTTAAAGATTGTAAAATATTTTTTGTTGTTAAGAACTTTTATTAATATAGATAGTGAAGTAGCGAATCTTATTTAAAGTAAAGGAAATTTAATATAATTGTTGTTTTATATTTTAATAAATAAATTTTGATTTGTTTTTAATCTATCTTCTTTTAGTTGAATTATTTTTTGGATCTGTTTTGAGTTGAGAGAGAAGTTGATTTAAATTAAGCTGAATAATATAAGTAAGATATAGGATTTAAATAATGATGGTATCTTCAGATAATGTTTGTTGGAGTGAAGTTGTTAAGATTTTGTTGTTTGATGTATTATCTATGATTAATCTAAATATTCGATTAGTAATATTATAATCTAAAAGGATTTTGAGCAAAGTATTATTTAGATTCGAACTAATATATAAACTAGATATTAGTTTGAATCTAAGAAGTACTTCTTGATATATCTAATTGAAGTTAATAAAATAGTTAGTGATTGCTATAAATATTTGTAAAAATAGAGATGTCTAATAATCAAATATAATAGAAATTTTTGTATTATCAAAGAGTGTATAGAGAATATATTAATATTAGTTTTTAATGATAGTGCTAAGATGGTAATGTATTATATTAGTGGATGGGAATAGTAGAATGGCTGAAGTAGAGTAAGCTTTGTGGAATAGATATTTGAATGAAATATGTTTAATAAGATTGAAAAGAAGTTGATTCAAAGTAAGAAATTATAAGATATTTTCTTTCTATTTTTCAAATAAAAAGAGTATATTTGATGAGTTTGGTAACTAGAGTATAAGAAAAAAAATAAGTATAAAGTATAGCAATAAATAGATATTCAAATAGATTTTAGATTATAGAAAATTTGTAATCTTAAAGCTTTTGCTTTCTGACTATAAATGTTTTGCTGTTTTGAAATGCTTTTGTATTGTTGATATGCTTTAGTAATAGGTTTTCTATTTACTAATGCTAGGAATATAGGAATACTTTAGGATCTTACTATAATATTTATATATAATCTTTGGTGTTCTATTGGTAATATATATAATTTAATAGTAGTTATTCTAAACTGTTATATAATATATTGAATTCTAATTGATCTTATTTTTTATATTATATTTTGTTTTTAGTTATTAGTCAATTTATTCTGAATATACTATGTTATTGTAAAGAACAAATAATTTCTAGTAGTTGGAATTAATGTGAGTTAAGGATAGTAGCGGTGGAAAAGATGTATTTGGTTGAAAGAAATTAGGTTTCTATAGATCTTGGATAAACTGGCTAATAGAAGAATCTAAAGTTTAGAAGTTATTATTCTCTCTATAGAGTGAGAATGGAAAATCTGAAAATTGATATTGTGATATAATAATGCAATAGTATTTAGATTTAATAATATAAAGAGAAGAATTATATTTATTAGAAATTTAAAATTAATTTTAGAAATATAAATAGTTGAATAGACTAGATCTAATATTATTTTCTATTAGTTTAATAAGTTTATAATATATAGATCTAATCCAAAGACTTTAATAAAAACCTAATAAAAATCCTAAAAATCTAATAAAAACCTAATAAAAACTCTAATAAAAACTCTAATAATCTAATAAAAATCTAATAAAAATCTAGTGAAAATCTAATGAAAACCTAATTCCTATCTTAATCTTATATCGATCTCTTAAAATATTTTATTTAGGAGTCTACCTTTAAGTTAATTTGAAGATTTAAGATTGAAAAACTTTAGAATGAGAATATATTATGTAGATTTTCGATAATATAATAAAAAATATTAATAAATATTAGTATATAGTTTTAAAGATTGAATCTTAGTGATTAATTTAATATTAAAAATAAAACAAAAAGCAAGAGTTAAAGTATAAAAGTTTATAGATTATGGCTGATAGAGAATTTTGAAATAAGTAGCTATATTCGAATATATATTTTTACTTTTAGAGCTCTATTGCAGTGTAGTTTTTAGACTTAAAAATAGTCTCTCCTACTACAGCATAGTTTTTGGATCTAAAAGTAGTCCTTCCAGTAATAGAGAGACTGTATTACCATACTATATATACTATAGTATCGATTTGCAGTATCTTAATTGTTTACTTGTAAGTTCAGTAAATAATATATTACAAATATTTTCAAGAAGCTGTTTTGAACTTCCTCTTTGGACATAGACTGAAACATAAAAAAATATTTGTAATCTAAATAGACTACTAAGCAGAATTATAATTGATTTTATACTGAATTGGGGTTAAAATGGGTTATTATTGGGTTTTTTGGGGCCCCAGTATTGGGTCCGGATTGGGTCTGGGTTATGAAGGTTCAACCCTACCTAATATGGGGTTAGGTTTTGGGTCGAGATCTTCGACCCAAATAGGGTTTTGCGGAAGTCTAATCTTAAGTAACCTATATTATAGAAAAGAAAGGTCTATTTAAGAAATTACCTTTATATACATATAGCGAAACCAGTCAAATTGTTCAGAATCTACGTACATACTATTCGTCCAAAAGTGTTTAACTAGAACGAATATCCTAAGCTTTGGCAAAAATCACTCGCGATCTATATCTAAAACCTATAGTAGCTTGATGTAATATTTTTATAGTGTTATAAAGATAGCAAAGCTGCACTTAATATCGCAAGCTAGGAATTTGAATTATACTTAAGTAGAATAAAAACTTTGAAATTTCATCATCAAATATCCGACCCTGTTCCTAAGAATAAGCTTCGACAGATTATGTTTTCTACATCGAATGTCGTTGGGGATCCTTTAGTCCGTTCAGCTGTAACTCGGAACCTAGCGGTCTCTCTTAATATGTAGCTAATATGACTATTATTGTTCTGTAGGTTCAAAATAATGGGACATTTGCCTCAACTTCTCCTTATATGCAAATTTAGACAAACAATTTAGCTATCTGCAAGGGTATGACTTATGAAAACCATTAGCATTTTTTAGATCTTTTAGAGTTTCAGGACTAAAATAATATAAGATTCCAACCGAAAAGAATAAGTATCATCTATTGGAACGCTAGTATTTCAATCTACAAGGAAGCTGTTCTTTCACAATATTTAAATACTGAGACGGATGGTGGTTTAGTCTATTATGCGTTGGTCTTTGTATTAGTAGATATATCAGCGTATAGCTAGTGTATATTGTCGACTAAGAGAAGAACCGAGACGATATGAACCTTCCAGTTATTTCTTGTCTATGCCACTAATAGGTAGACGAACTCTTAGGGCTATCAATCTCCTATCATAAGTATTGAGACTAATACATAATAAATTCTTGAATAATAGAGTTCATGACTTGTTCAGTTTAATACAATGACTAATATGTTGTTCGGGTTTACCTATTCTTTGCCTGGAATCTTCTATTCTAATAATGTCTTGAGCTTACTTTCAAGGTTAATCGGCTAGTAGACACTCGGAGTCAGGACTACGTCCTCCTCAGTATTCTGTCAGAGCATTCTCTTATTTACCGTGACTTTCACTCTATCGTATATTGAATACAGTTTATCGAAAATTCGTAATTTGATATTCCATCATATGTATTTTCTTTTACATAAGACTATGTCAATCATATATTATACAATACATTTCGAAGACTGCTGAATACCCAAGAATTTTTCGATGTTTCTTTTCCATCTGTATTGTATTATCGCTCTAAATATAATTGGCGCTTATATGGGTCTGAACAAACGGACTAATACTTTACTCATTATATTGGAATAATTAATTGCGAACCTATCTAATTATGAGAGCGCTTGCAATAAAATTCTGATAACTTTGAAGCATTTTTGACGCATGTTAATAAACCCTTCCGAATCTCTAGATGGGATCTTCACCTCTCCTTTATTACATAGTCTCTTAGGTTTTCTAAGTTACTGTGCTGTAGATCTAAGATGCTGCTACAAGTGACAGCGTTTATTTTAGAAAATCTTCCCTCTTACTACATTTTGTTTTCTATATATTTATCTTATGTTTTTTTTTTTTTTTTTTTGCAATTATCGAAATTTGAGTTTGATACAGATAAGCAAGCGATATATCTATTTTACTAATTAAAGTACAACATATCGCAATACGAAGGTAT